AAGGAAGTTATCAGTATAAAGCAAAGTTGACGGCAGGAAGGCTCAGTGTTATATTCAATTCATGGCAAGAAAAAGAAAGAACAAACCTCCTAGTCATGATGCCTGGTACACTTTTTAGAACTGACTGGTTAAAAAGGAAGAAAACACCTGGAAAACACAGATGCTGCAGCAGGAAGGTTTTTGACATAGACTGTGGCATGCCCAGAGGCACCCTCCAGGTGTGTCTCGTTAAACAATTGGATCTGGTATGTGGATACCCATACCCTCTACTGGGTACTCTGCAGTTACAAAGCTCAAGGTATGGGGTTTTTTTCCTCTCAGATTTACTAGTGTAGTGCCCCAAAACCTAGTCTGAAGCCAGGAGCCCTCCCCACAAACCTTTTATAAAGCCTAGGATCTAAAAACAAACGTCACTAAAGGGCTTTTTCCCATATCGTCTTCACTGTTCAGACCACATACAGAAATGACACGCTCTTTGATCTAGACCAATTTCTTCCTCCTTTTTGTCTGAAGTTTTTTTTAAAAAAAAAAAAAAAAGTAAAATTGCCTTAAGAAGAAAAAAACGGGTAAAAATGCTTAATTAACTTTTCTCTAGATCTTTGACCTTTTTTACCCCCCTCTCTAGGTAGTTCCATACCTGGAGGAACCTGGAAGAAATAAACATATTTTTATTAATTTTGTTGGTCCACTCTTGGTAGAGGATCAAAATAAAGAAAGATTTGACCAACTTGTTTTGAAATTTAGGCTTTGTATGTACTTTCTCCTTCCCACTTCCACCTTCTCTCATCTCACTGATCTACATTTAACGAGTACGTTCGGGGTAGCTCTGCCTGGGACACTGAAGTTTGACCACAAAATACATACATTGACTTTCAGACCTCAACAGAATTTGTAAGTCAAGCAATTAGACTTTCTGCTAAGAACAATCTAACCTAGAATCGAAACGAGGCAGTAAACAGGGAACAGCATGTAACTGTTTTTAGGGATGAGCATATCATTGAAAAGACACATAACAAATATTTTTTGCAGAGACTGGTGAATTTGTTAATGCAGACATTGCCTTTACTAGAGTTCTTAACACTTTTGTACCAGCTTAACAAACAAAATACACCCATACAGAACACCTCCCACTCTGTTATTTGTTCAGAAAATCTCATGATACACTGGCTCTAAAATAGAAGGATCATTGATTTCTTTTTCTTTGTGGGCAGGATGATTCCCTAGAGATCAGGGGTGGCTTTTAAGGGGTATTTTGCAGATGTCCCTCAGCAAGGAAGATGCAGCACAAACTCTTGTTCAAATTCCAAGGACCTTTTGCACATGCTCTTTTTTCATCTCTTTGGGCAAACTAATTTTCTGCACTGTGACTGTTGACATAAGGCTTTAGAGTAAAAGAGGTCTAGAGAATCAATTTGTGGTATTTTAATATATTCCCACCCTCATCGCAGAGCTGGAGGTCATCACCTCCCACTGGAGTCTGTTTTTTGTGATTGAGAACCTAAACAAGGAATGCAGGTAGGTTTGAACAAAGACACTAAGCTGGTGCAATACCATGACTTAGGGGGGCTTGTAAGGTCCAAAAATGGTCTAACAAAACCTTTGCCAGTGAGCAAACAGCTTTACCAGAGACCAATGCCTGTGCAGTCTGCATTGGAGGAGCTGAGCCTCTTATCCTGTCACTGGGCAACACTGAAAAGTCTGGCTTCATCTTCTTTATGCCCTGCCTTCAGACGTTTATGAATATTGATAAGAGCGCCCCTGCACCTTCTTGTCTCCAGGCAAAACAGTGGCAGCTCTCTCAGCCTTTTCTCATATTACAGATGCTTCTGCCCCTTCATCATCTTAGTGGTCCTTCCCTGCACTTGCTCCAGCAGATCCACATCTTCCTTGTACTGTGGAGCCCAGTACTGTATCCAGCTCTCCAGATGGATCTCACCAGGGCTGAGCAGCAGGGAAAGATCACCTCTCTTGCCCTGCTGGCAACATCCTTCCTAACGTAGCCCAGGAAGCCTAACGTAGCCCATAAGCTTGTCTGAGAACTTTATGGGAGAGGGTGTCGAAAGCCTTACAAAAGTCAAGATAAACAACATTCACTGCTGTCCTCTCATCCAACAAGCCAATTGTCTTGTCATAGAAGGCTATCAGGTTGGTTAAGCATGATTTCCCCTTCATAAATGCATATTGACTATTTCCAGTGACCTTCTTGTACTTCATGCATCTGGAAGTGGTATTCAGGATTATTTGCTCCATCAGCTTCCCAGGGATTGAGGTGAGGCTGACCAGGCTGTAGTTTCCAAGATCTTCCTTCTTGCTCTTCTTGAAGATAGGGGTGACAATTGTTTTCTTCCAGTCCTCAGGCACCTCCTGCAATCACCATGACCCTTTGAAGATGATCGAGAGTGGCCTTGCAAGGACATCGGCCATTTCCCTCAGCATGTGGAGCTGCATCCCATCAGGGCCCATGGACTTGTCTATGTCAAATCTGTTTAAGCATTCCTTAAGCTGATCCTCCTCCACTAACAGTAAGTCTTCCTTGCTCCAGACTTCCCCTTAGGATTGCTCAAGGTCAATCTTACCAGTAAAGACTGAGGCAAAGGCGGCATTCAGCACATCAGCCCTTTCCGTGACCTTGTCACCAGGCCCCTGCCCCATTTAGCAGTGGACACCCCTTTTACCTAGCCTCATTTTGCTGTAGAAGACTGTTATTGCCTTTCATGTCCCCTACTAGTTTCAACTCCAGGTGGGCTTTAGCTCTCCTAATCCCATCCCTGCATGCTCAGACAGTGTCTCTATATTCCTCCCGAGTCACCTGTCCCCGCTTCCACCTCTTGTACGCTTCCTTTTTATGTCCGAGTTTTGCCAGGAGCTCCTTATTATTCATCCATGCAGGCGTCCTGCCACCTTTGCTTGATTTCCTCCTTGTTGGGATGGACCAGTCCATGAGGTTGGAAGAGTCCTTGAATATCAGCCATCTCTCTCGGGCCTCTCTTCCCTCGAGGGTCATATCTCACAGGATTCTTCCAAGCAGATTCCTGAACAGATCAAAGTCTGCTCTCTTCACGTCCAGGGTTGTGATCCTGCTTTTTGTACTGCTCCCTCCTTGCAGGATCCTGAACTCTTACCATCTCATGGTCATCGCAGCCAAGGGCTGCCACTGACTTTCACATCTCCAGCTAGCTCATCCTTCTTTGTAAACATGAGATCCAGCAGAGCACCTCTGACTTATACTGCAAAAAAACCACAAAGACAGACTCCGAGATGACTAAGGGAACAGAAATCTTGCAGAAGAGCTGTCTTTTAGGATTTCTTGAGGGTTTGGGGCTTGCCAGTGTGATCAGCAGATCCTTCAGGGCCAGGTGACTCTGAAGCTAAACCTGAATGTGGAAGGAAGACACGTGGAAGCAAAGACAGGGACAGGTACAGTTCTTTCAGAGCCAAGTCTTAAGGCATTTGGGTTGGACCTAAATAAATAGATTAACCAGGGCCAGGGAATTGGTCCCTGGTACGAGACACAACTCTCTACCGTTACACTGCTGGCATGGTTTGGCCAACTCACCCTAAATCAGGTGCAGTTCAAGACTTGGCAGGGACAGGGACCCTTTGCAGTACAGATGCAGCTACTGTTGTTGGAGGGGAAGATAGATGAGCTGTATGAACACATGCCGGCCTGGGCCTCAGGGCCTGAAATCGGGCCCTAGCATGGTCTAGTTTACTGGCAATGAAATAACCCTAGTATCAAACCTTTGAAGTCCCTACACAAGCTTTACTTCAAGTGGTTCTAGTCATATTTTGAGGAAGACACACACACACCCTCCCTTCGTCTTACTGATTTTAAGGCTATATCATTTGGAGAGTGAGGCCGGAGAGGGCAGCGAGGGGACCAAGGCTGAGGTTGCCTAACCTAATTTGGATTTTGATTAGAGAAAGAATCTTTATGCCAGAAAATGTTGGCAAAAGCTCAAGAAGTTGCAGATGCAATAAATAAATGTTGAGTTAAAACTGACAAACAAAATAAACAACCAAAAATTATGCCAGGCATCAGCTCTACTTCAGCGTGGAGGGCACCAACTAAAGATAACAACAGTTATGGACCTCTGAGATCTTTCACGGCTGTTGAAAGATCCTGCTCCAGTTCAGCTCCTTTGTACAACTTCAGCCCAGACAGACAAGGTTAACAGTAGATTTCTATCTGCATTTGCTGAATTTTATCCAGGACTGCAAGTTTCCTGCTGTGGTGGCACAGTTTAAAACCAATTCCCTTACTCATGCATGAGCCAGTCTAGGAGAACACCACCTACATCCTGCAGAAGATGCCCAGGTACACATTGCCCGTTGCTCCTGCCCAGGGACCTTTGCAGCATGAAGCTCCCATGGGGCTGGCAATGCAAGAGCCAGATGTTAAGTCCTAACTTTTCCCTCAGCCCCCAAAAGCTCAGGGTATGAGCTAGGTTAAGAAAACGACTTGGACCAAACAACTCCAGCCATCTGTGTGTTTAACTCATACTCAATCTCTGCCATTTTGCGGGCCAGACACTGGCTGTAAATCCAAAGTTACACTACAGAAGTGCGATGCACCCAGCAAGACATTTAAGAGCCTACAAGACCGCAAGTGCACAAAATCCACTCCAAACCTGAAAATCTGCCATCACAGCCACGTTGGGTACAGGGGGCTCAGAAATAGGGCTCTTGACTCAGCAAGTCTCATCCACTCGCAGAAGTAAAGGGAACGAGAAGCTCTTCTGGAGAAGGGGAGATGCGGGGTCCAGAGTCCCATCAAAGCTAGCAAAGGGGCAGGGTCCACCACAAAGTTCCTTCCCATGTTGTTGGCTCACTGAGGCCCTCCGCAAAGGTACCGCTGTGGGAGGACATGCCTTAAACCATCCCCGAACAGAGAGGGGCGGGCAATTGCCTGAAGGCTTTTTGTAGCAGCGTAGGTCCTCACGAGATAGCCGGGTCTCATGCCCAGAAATGGAACAATCAAAATCCAAGTAAGCAGTAAATCATGGGAGAGATAATATCTAGACATGTTTTATTATTCAAGTAAATATTTATGGCATCACTGACATAGAAAAGCCTGGGGCAGATACTTACACAAGGAGAACAGGGCAGGTGAGCTATACAGACACCATGAGACAGGCAAGGACCACAGCAAACAGCCTGCGCTGCTCAGGGCCTTTTCCAAAGGTTACCTTTAAATTCCCAGGGCAAAAAAAACAACAACAACAAAAATAATCCCAACCCTTCAACAGCTCTGGCATTGTGAGCAGCTGTGCATTCAGCTTTTTTTGAAAACCATCCCTGGCCATGGGAGTTTGCTAGTTTCTAGTAACAGTCTTTCTCCAAGAATCGGTCACCTACACATTCCCCAAAAGTAAAACGGTTAAACATATCCTCTAAAAGTGAGGAAAAGCTTTTCTAGTCTCGGTAGTTTGAGGTTACCTTCCACATTAACCCAAGGAATTGTGCAGTGATTTAGCCAGGACTCGCAGGTGATTTAAGAGCCCAAGTCTCACCAGCTTTCACAGACCAGGGGTACTTCTTCAAAGCTTGGCCTTCCTTTGCTACAAAAGGTTTCTCATTTGTGATGAGTCCTGTTATATTCATACAGCAGAGATTCTCAGACTAGAGAACCCAGGAAGAGATTCAGGGAACTCAACAAAAACAGCAGCAAAAAAATCCACAAACACCTAAGCAAGCCCTCTCTTGCAATTCCTGCAGCCATAAAAGACTGCAGACCTATTCTGCCTCTCCTAGGTCCCTCCCACCCACTCGGAGCTGGTATTCCCAGCAGGGTTGCAAAAATCTAGAAATCAAGCCGACCCATCAGCGCACAGAAGGCTGGACTGTACTTGTCCTGCATCGCCAGAAACTGTTCTCTATGAGCCAGTTAGGAAACCAATGCTGAAAGAGACTGGATGTCACAGCTCAGAAAGTACAGGCATTAGGGATGACCATCTTTACCTGCAAGACAAGCAGATCTAGTCTATGCAATTGGGGCCAGAAAAAAAATAAAGGGGGAAAAAAAAGCTTCACTACCAAGAGTGGAGCCCCCATATTACTTCTTACCACCACTGCTATTAAATACTGGATTCCTAAATCCAGGTCTTTTTATTCAAAGGCTGAAACCATTACCACCAGCTGGTGAACGTGTGCATGGTTACAGCGAGGAAAAAGAAGTCTATGTTTTACACACCAATAAAAGAGTGGGAGGCAAACAGACTGCTTCCAGACTGGTAAGGCCCCATACAGCACAAACACATAGGTTTACTTGGGCAACAGCCTGCAGACAAGAGCCCTGCCTTAAAATGAGATGGCCTCAGGTAAAACCAGGCTGAACTCTTGAGCTTGCATGTGACCAAGACCAAAGCTAAAAACAATGCATTAAGATCAATAATTAGCAAAGAAATTTTTCTTTTTGGCTACCTGCAGAAATAAACCTCTCCCAAAGTCCTTCAGTTTGGAGGCAGTGACACTAAGAGAGCTTTCAGAGCTCCTGGCTTTTTTGGTGCCAGCAATGCACAGGAAGGACTGCAAAGTGCACAGACTCAAGCTCCCCAAAGCCCAGCTCAGCTAGACGAGGCATTCAGGAGAGGGTTGAAGGCAAATACAAAGAGTCTCCAGATAGAGAAGTCCATGAGAATTTGGGCTCTTCTGCCTAGAGGCTTAGATTAAAAAGATAATGTCATCAGACACCATGATCTGGTTGTCATCTTGCATGTGGGCTAACGCCGCCTTCACTTCGGCTGGTGAGAAGGGCTCAGGGTTGTCCTGGTTGATGGACTCCATCATGCTCTTCATGCCCACAGACTGGGCATGGGAAGCTCTGAAGACCTCCAGGAGGGCAGCCTTGAATGCTTTCAACCTAGGTAGGCAAGGCAGGGAAATAATCCACATCAGAGACTGAACGTAAGTCCTTCCCTTCCTGACCCTGAGCTGTTCCAGAAGCAGCACCCAGCAGGAGAGCCAAAACTGGAGCAAGGAGCACCCACCACCAAGTGTGGGTGTGCTTTAAAGAACCTCTGGTTATGCCCACGGACCTGCTACATCCACACAGCCCATCTCAGACCTATGGATACCAGCTCCAAGCCTGCACAGGGCGTAGCAATCAGGTTAACTCAGTCCTGCCTCCATCCCTCATGGAGGGAACACACGAGCATCCCTGGCACCTTCTACTGACTGTTATCATCAGCTTCAGTCCTGCAAGGTTTCAACTCTCCAGGACACAAAGCAGCATCTCATACAAAAATTCAGGACCGGACCCACCAGCTGAGCTCTAAGCAGCAACAGGGTTACAGTCACGTAGCTGCAGGTAAGAAGTGGCTGGGACTTCACATAAAAGCCAACATCCAAAATAATCAGAGCCGCAGCTCACCGGCACCTCATGGAGGTGTTTTATAGAGATCCCCTCACAATTTAATCCAGGCTGACCTGCTTGACTTACACAGCTGGAAATGTGCCACTATACAGCTCAAAGCAGTCCTACAGTTTTCTATAGCGGGCAGAGTCCTCACTCCAAGGGCACATGAGCCCTTAGCAATACCACGTTTCCCTGCCCTGCAGCCTCAGGAGAGATTTGTCACCTTGGATCCTTATTCCAAAACCTCCCAAACCCAACCTGGTCATTTGATCATCTTATACAGACAGGAAGCATGCTATATTTCAGCTTACAAAGGGGAAAAAAAAAAAAATCTTGCTACATTACCATCATGAATATCATCTACTCCACATCTGACCCCTCCTCCTCCTCCCCCTGCTTCTGCAGCTCCCCACTCACCTCAGGTCAGCCAGCTCTGACTTCTTCGCTTCGCCAGCAGCTGAAGGTTCAGGCGTCTTGGGAGTATGTGCCTGGACTGGAGCAGAAAGAGGAGAGTTACATGCACCCACCCAGCACCTTGAACACACAGGGAGCTACCACATGCTGCAGCAATCAAGAAACAAGGGCTGCATTTAGTCTCTTGATACAGGGCAGGTGATGCCAAACTCCTCCTGTTGTTACTTTTGCAGCAGTTTGGAAGCAGACAATAATCAGCCACAAGGCAACTCCAGGAGAACGTTTTCTCTACTCCAGGAGAACAACTCTACTGGTACTGAGGATTTTCAGACGCCAAAGTTTCCTCAGTGTCCGTTGCTGGATGATACTCTGCTCCCAGCACACTGACTCAGGGCTTTGCCAGCAGCTACTCGATCTGACTGCTATCCACAGACTGTTACTGTCATGGGAAGGAGGCAGGACTCTGCTCCAAACAAACTAGCAGGAGGTGTCGAAGCCCCCAGTACAACAAGCAGAGAAACTTAACGCTGTCAGTGGAAAGCAATTCAGCTGACCAGATTGAGGTACCTGCTTTGGGGAGCCAAATTGTTCTTCACCAAGCTCCATAGACCGTGTTGACCAAATCTCCACCGACGATGGTGGGAGCAGCAGGTTTGCAGACAACTACGTGATAACCCTGAGCTGAAACCCACCCTGGCTAACACAGAGACCTGCAGCTTAACACACCCCTTTCCCCACTGCTGCGCTAAAGGCTTTACTGCACTCAGTCACAGAAGAATGAGGAAGGAACCCAGCCCGGGGCTCCAGGCAGGATCTACGCAGAGGCAGCCCATCCACTAGCTGAAAGAGGAAAGCATGGCTGGCCGGCCCAGCACTGGGTTTCCAGGTACCGCACTGTGCCAAGGACCCCGAGCAGCCCCAGCATGGAGTTGCTTCTCACTGTAGTGCACAAACCCAACAGCACAGAAGGCAACAGCACCCTCAAAGAGCTGCGTGCCAGTGAAATCCCACAGACGCTCACCCTCTGGCATCTCCTCTTCCGCATCACTGAAGTCGTAAGGGTCGTAGGAGTCTCCTTCGTCCCCTGAGCGCGCCTTCTTCCTCCTGGGTGAGGGGAGAGAAGGTCACTTCTCCACACTGAACCACAGACCTCAGGAACGCCACAGAGCTCCTTGAAACATCAGGCTAGAGCAATGCAGGGTACCTGCAGCTTGCAGATAAACTCAGAGCTCATCTGCCATCAATTCAGCCATAAACTTCCACATCTAGCAGAGGATCTGAGCCATACGTTCAGGTGCTTACCTATGTTGTCACCACAAGCTTCAGGGAAGTCAGCCATCCCCCTGCCGGCAGCCATTACGCTGGCCAGAAAGAGGCCAGTCGCCTTTTTGCAATATCCCCCCTCTTTCTTGCTCAGGCTCCTACCTTCTCTTCCTGCTCTCCTCCTTCGGCTGCTGATCCTCCTCCTCCTCTTCAGTCTCTGAGTCGTCCTCTGCCTGCTTTTTGCGCTTCTTCTCTTTCTCCAGCACCTGCACAACAAAGGCAGGCAGGACTCAACCTGCTTCTGACGCAGGCAGGATCCCTGTTCCCTCTGCTGTCCCGGAGCATCACTCCTGCTTGCTCCCAAAACAAACCTGCCTCCTTCCGATGCAGCCTTGCTGGACTAAACAACCCAAAGGGTTTCACTCCCCTCCAAGAGACCTGTCTGTCCAACCTCCCTCTGCACTAGGAAGAAGCCTGAGCCTAACACACCTGCACACGCATGCCTGCGAGTTAGGTGAGCGCTCAGCCACGTCCCACAATGCCTCTTACTCCAAAACACCTGCTTCCAGGAGGGTAAGCTCAGGGCAAGGCCTCTCAGAGGTATTTGCCGGATCACCCAACTAGGCATACCAGGATGTGTCCTTCCCAGCCACAGAGAGACAGATACCAGTCCCCTGCACTCCAGAAGGGATAGCCGTTGCCTTTCAGGGGCTAGCACCACCACATGGGGCCAGGAGCTTCCTGCAGCCCAATTTTCACGCCGTGGCTGAGATATGGCCCTGCTGCTAGCAACTGTGGGTGCTCTGCCTGTTCCAGGCCCAGAGCCCAAACCTGCCCCTTCTGATGATCCCTTTAGGGCCCCTCTGCTGCTAAGGGACACCGTTGCCCTTGCTGGGCTCTGACCTTTTTGAAGTAGGCAAACTGCACCAGCTCCACAGCTGCTTCTGCGTCCTGAAGATCAACAGTCTTGTTCATCCTGGCCTTCGCATGGGCTGTGGAGAGACGGATCAGCGTCTCCAGGGTACGGGCTGTGACTGGGGAGGTCTGGGGATGGAGAACGGATGGCTGTGAGGTGCCATGTCCTCATAGGGTCTGCCTGACCACTGAGAGACCACATTCAGAATGGGGCCGGCCTGGCAGGACCCCATGTAGCCTGGACATCAGCACCTGGACTCAACCTCCCTTTGCAACACCAAAAGGTGATCCAGGAGAGGAAAAACCATAATGAGAGAGGAGAACATTTGCCTCAGTTCCCCTCATCCTGGCAGTAGAGGGAGGGAAGAAGCTGCTCGCCCATCACGAGCAGCGCAACAGCAGAGCTCACCCTGGCAACATCAGAGTTCATCTCGTTCTGGCTGCGCAGGCGGGAGTATTCCTCAGCTATGTAGTTTGCCGACTCCTGGGTCAAGACAGGCTTAATGATCTTTGCTACGTGGATGTATTTCCTCATGAACTCCATGCTGACGATCTTCTCTCTGTGGGAGACACACACACACCCGTGTCCCCAACAGGATGAGCAAAGGCAGCCTGCAAAAATGGGGCTGCATGCAGAAAAAGGATAAGCACTACCAGATACAAGGGAAGTTTAGCTCTAGGAGACATTTCCCAAGCTCTTCGTGGCACCTGGCATTACAGATCAGGCTCAGAGCAACTGCCCAGAGCAGACATTTCAGAGCTTCCTTTGCATCCTGCCTATGCATCTTCACCACTCTCAGCCACCACCTACATGCTCGAGCCAAATCAACCACATTTTGAGATTCGTTCCTGGCGCTGGAAACCCCAGAGCTAGAGGAAGGAGCAGCCACCGGGGCCGTTCCCAACCCATTTCAGACTCTACATGGGATAGGATGTGGGACTCACTTCCGCCGGTTGGGCCCGTGCAGGAGGTCATCATGTTTCTCATACACTTGGAGCTCCTGTTCCTCCTCCTGTGCGAAGTCAGGGTCCTCTGTAGCCAGGATCTCCACGGCACTGCCCAGGGGCATGGCTGGGAAAAGGGAGGGTTACAGAGAACAGGACTTTAGTCTCTTGCAGCGTCTCTGGAGCAACGGTCTTCCGAGAGCAGGCCAAAAGCCACTTACCAATAGCACTCAGCAAAACCACATACAACAGACCCTAACAGCTGGTAATAGGGGCCACGAGGCGAGAAGGTCAGAGAGGGAGGAAGGATAAGACCAAGCAGCAAGGCAGTTTCACAGCCTCGGGAAAAAGAGTCTGTGTCAAGAACTTTGAGCTCCATGGTGCTGCTCCCCTTCTCGTGAAAAACAACATAACCTCATTTTTCCCAGTGCTCCCAACTCCCAGGAAAGGGAGCAAAGACTTTCAGGTTGTGCCTCAACACAAGCAGCCCAACCTTCTGCTATGCCCAGTGCCTCTGCCGTGGCCAGACAGGACAGAGCTGGGCAGAGGGCTACAGAGGACAGACAGAGACTCGTTGCCTCAGGGTCATGGCAAAGCAATATTCAACATCCCACACGGAACAAGGATCCAGCCCCTTCCTGCCCGCAAGCAATAGGGAAGTGACCACAGCCAGAGAAAACTCGTAACGCACGGGCTCCCTATCATCCACCAAGGAGGAGAGAATAACCTTGGCTGTAGGAAGGCTCAGGGCTCCCAGACCTTGAGAACCAACTCACCATCCCCATCCTGCTCGTTGGGGTTGCGGTAGCGGTGCATTCGCAGGACGTGGTCCGAGATCTCCCTGTCCTGCTCAGGGTCCGTCTGGTCCAGGACAATGAAAAGCAGGTCAAAGCGGGAGAGCAAGGAGTCCTGCAGGCCAATGTTCTCCATGGGTGTCTTGTACTGGTCATACTGCAAGAAGCAGAGGGGAGAAGTTATAGCAGACCCTCACTGGTCAGTCTGGGCTGTTAGGAGAGTTGGGTGGACCTCCCTAGGTGAGGCCTTAAAGGATGAATGTACAGGCAGCCAGAGACTGCCTGCAGAATCCATGCTAAACCCAGCCTGCTGCAGACATAAAGGCCTATTTTCTCCATCCTGGAAGATGGGAATAGCTCTCATTTGCAAGGAAAATCCATGCTTTTTTGTACTCCCTTCTCAGGGTCTGTCCCAGCCAGATTGCAGGCCAGACACCATAGGCTAAGTGCCACAGACCTCATCCTGGCTGCTCTTCCCCAGCTCAAGGCTGGGATGTTCAGCTCAAGACAAATACCTGGGCACCACCAGCCACGAGATGCAATCCCACCACAGTCCCCCAAAAGCTCATCACCCAGGTTGAGGATTCACTGGGCTACCCAGAGCCTGCACACAGCAGTCTCGGCTCTAGCTGGAGCACGGGATGACTTGCAGCTATGCGGTCGCATGGCTGCTCTCCAGTCCCACGCCTCTGGGGCAGGGCACCGAGATCCTCCGGCAGCACTAAACCGGGTTAAGAAACTCCACAGGCCTCACTCGGGGACTTGAATGCAAAGTAAGCAACCCCATAAATCCCTCTCACTCCTGGGACAACCGTGAAAAGCAGCAGCAACCAATCAGGTCTTTGCACCCAAAGATCCCAGTCCTGTTACCCCAGTAAGGAGTGAGTCACTAGTTTGGGGAGAATCTTTCAGTTTTTAACAGTTGCTTTTTCCACCAAGATAGCTCCCACCAGCCTTCCTCACAGAAGGGACCCAGCGTACCCCAGCCCTCACCCCCACTCACCCGGCCATAGACCGGATTAGCCGCAGCCAGGACGCTGCAGCGGGAGTTGAGCCGCGCGTGGATGCCGGCTTTGGCGATGGTGACGCGGCCCTGCTCCATCACTTCGTGTATGGCCGTACGGTCGATGTCGGACATCTTGTCGAACTCGTCGATACACACCACCCCCCGGTCAGCCAACACCATGGCCCCTGCTTCCAGGCGCCGTTCACCTGGGCGAGGAAGAAGGTGAACCATCATCCAACAGTCCCACGCATCTGTCCCCTGCCATCACCTGCCACTGCCACACCATCGCTCCATCCCTACGACTAGGCTAAGCCTTAAATAGCAGCAGCCATTTTGGCTCAGGCCTGTCCATCTCCTACTCTCCTTGAGGGCAGGACACTGAGGAAGAGGAGACCCACAAGCTGAAAGAGGACAAGATCCAGCCTGTTGGTGTCAGCCAGCTCCCAAAGAGGATAAACCTCATAGAAAAGGAGAAGAGAAGACCACCACCTGACAGAGGCAGAGAAGATATCCCTGAACACTGTTATCATTGCCATAAAGCTTCTGGCCAGAGCAAGGCATACAGGTGCCACTGCAAGAAGGACAAAGAGCAATCCTGGACCTAGCAGAGACCCTGCTGTCACTTCAGTATCAGCCAGCAAGCCTCTGCCAGCTCCCAGCAGGAACCAGTCCGTTCCTTACCAGTTTCTTGGTCTGTGGTGACAGCAGCAGTCAGACCAACACCAGAGGAGCCCCTGCCGGTGGTGGGGATGGCCCGGGGTGCAGTGGAGAGCACATACCGCAGCAGCTGAGATTTGGCAACCGAAGGGTCTCCTGAAACAGAAAGGATGGCATGAAATGGGGATAAGTGGCTAAGAAAGCAGTTTTCCAAAGAAAGACCTACAGGTTCGGGTGGGCAGTAAGTTGAATGTCACTCTGTAGGGCACCCTGGCAGCAGAGCAGGGAAACAGCATCCTGGGCTGTCTGAGCAAGACTACAGCTAGTGGGGCGAGGAAAAGGATCCTTGTCTTCCGTTTGGCACTTGTGACCACCACATTACCCGCATACCGTGTCCAGTTTGGGCCTCCCAAGTGAGGAGAAAGGAAGAAAAAGAAAAAAAGGGGGGGGAAGGGGGATGAGAAGGGGAGTATTTAGCCTTTAGAAAAGAAAGTGAATGGAAAATCTCCTTGCCTTCCTCATCTACCTACTGGGAGGAAATAGAGAAAATGGAACCACACTTTTCCAAGAGGCGCTTGGTGACAGAACGAAGAGCAACTTCGAACATAGGAAATCCCTCTCTATGTGTGGTCAAACACAGGGATAGGGCCCCAGATAGGCTGTGGGATCCCATTCCTGGAGATGTTCAAAACTAACCAGACAAGTCCCAGACCAAACTGATCTACCAGTGGAATTCACTCTGCTTTGCATACAGCATTGGACTAGGGACCTCCTGAGGTCTATGAAACTCAAGCCAGGAAAGCGAATGCTAGTTCCTTGATCTCACCACGCCCCCCCCACCCAAAACCCAGCTTAGGGTTCCTCTGCCCAACATCTCCAGACCTATTAGCAAGATGTTGATGTCTCCTCGGATGCGGCTCCCATTCTCTAGGACTTTCTCCACCCCTCCAAGCAGCATACAGAGAAGGGCCTTCTTGATGTATTCATGTCCATGGATACTGGGAGCCAGAGATCTCGCCAGCTGGTCAAAGATGTCCTAAGGCAGAAGAGGCAAAGCATAGCCCGTAAGATAGACGGCAGCAAACAAGAACAAGGAGTAATTCTTTACAACTCTATCTGAGCACACCCATGCAAGAAAGGAGTTTATTGCTACCACAGAACCACAGCAGTGAAAGTTATTTATACAGCAGAAGACATTTGTTGGAGTTTTCTTCAATCATCCTGGCCACGGTTGTGATGCCCTACATCACAATAACCCCAGCAACCACTGGAAGCAGCAAACCCTTTAAGTGCAGGGCACCATCCTCTCCGAGATACAAAGCAAAGGCTAGATCATAGGATCAGACTGGGGTACGCTCCTTTTCCCTTCTTAGCCCAAGACTTGTGATTTTGCTACGTTTTCTTTCAGAGCATCAGTGATCCACACTGTGCTATCACTCTGTTCTTAGTTTTGAGGAAGAAGAGAGGAAGATATTTCTTCTATAGACTATTTCTCTGGCAACCGGCTAGCAGATTCAGGAAACACAGATTTCCATCTTCACAACTGCACACAACAAAGCTGCCAACAATCAGGAAGCTCTACTAGTATTACAGAAGCAGCAAAACCAAGTCAAAATAAACAAAAAGAACCCTCCCAGAACCTGATAGAACTGTGAATGAAATGCAAAGAAAGTAAGTGGAAGATCCAGCAACATTGCTAAGAGGGGGGAAGAGTTTACTCAAAGCCCGTTCAAGAACAAGACAGCTCCTTAACCACGTGCCAAGCTTTAAAACCGCTACAGTTGAAACCTCATGTTTGGACACAAGCCTACCTAGAAGACATATTCGTAAGTAACATTTAAATACCTTGGAGCGACTCTTGCTGAATCTCTTGATCTTGGCCACATCAGCAGCAGAGTAGAGAGGCCGAATATCTTTGCTCATCTGCTTCACGTGACAGGCAATGAGGATAGTCCTGGAGAAGAAACACAGCCATGGTCAGGTGTGCAAACCCCAGAGGCCTACAGGTCACAACAACAATGCAATAGAAACTTCCACAGGGTGATTTGCTCTAGAAAGTCCTCACGGAGGGCTGGAAAGCTCCAAGAGCTATAACCCTCCTCTGTCTTTGTCTAACTGGACTACTCAGGCAACGCAGCATCTTTAAGAGTGTCCAACCCACTCCACACACAGCTGGACTTTACAATTCAATAGTGATGCTAAGGAACCAGTAGCAAACCCAGCTCTGTGATGGCTACCTACTTGCCCTACCTCACCCGCCCAAGACATGACCCTACTGAAAAGTGTGAACAGCCTGGAGTTGTCCTTCAGGCCAGAAGGAGACTCACCTGAATGTCCCTGAAGTATAACCCCCTTTCTTTCCTGGCAGGCAGCGGTATGTCCCAACCACCTGGATGCGGTCCCCAGGTTTCACTTTGTCCACTAGGTCGTCATCTAGAATGACATCCACCGAGCGTGGCAGCTGCCCTGCTGGTGCCTTCTCAGGCATCTCCTGGATGGTGATGGTTTGATGATCCTTGTAGACTGAGAGGCCAAACTCTGTCTCCAAGGGGTTATTCTCTTCATCCTAGAGGAGGAACGAAAAGAATAAGACTAGCATCACTTTTTAGGAGCGCTGGAAAGATGGGTGAGCTGAGTGGCGAGAAGACAGGCTGCACCATCCAAAACACGTAAGACCACTGAAAATGGTTGCTTAATAAAGACTGCCGGAGCCTGGGGTTCACCAGCTCCACAGCCTCCTTATCTAACTCTTAGCACCCAGGAGTGTTGGTACACTCTCTCTCTCCAAGCCCTGTAGCTAATGTAGGCAGCAATAACACCACCCATGCAGAAAACAGTACGTGCACTGAGGTCATAGCTCAGGTCAACATTCTTGCACTCCCAAATACAGACCAGTCATTCTGCCCAAGGATGCATATATCCTCCAGGAGAAGACAGATCTGCCCATACTAACCCAGGTACCAAAAGCAAGAAAACTGGCTGAAAACCCTTAAGAAAACCAGCTAAGCATCTTATAGCAGAAGCAAGATCATAACTAACATCTGAGCTTCTCAAACGAAAGCTGGTCTGGTGATTGTGTGACTAACAGAGACTTCGTTTTAAATGTTCCTAGTAGCTCTTGGGCTTTGCCACATCACACACTCTTTTCTCTATTCCATGGACTATGTAGGCAGAGGAAAAAGAGATCCACAGGGATCTGAGACCCTCAGCTCACAAACAGCGTATTCTCCCCAGAGGGACTTGCTGACACTTCTCACTAGACCACTTCACCTTTGTAGGGTACACAGAGCTGGACGGGAAAGCATCTAGAGATGTCATGTCCGTATAGCGACGCTCAATAGTTTTCTTAGTAGCTGGGCAATAATGGACACTCCGGACAATCTTTGGACGAACCAGAGAACCTGAGTTTGGAAGAAAAGAGAAAAGAGCTAGGGCCAACAAAACCCCCTCTATATTCAGCCAGCAATCCCCCATGCAATTTCCACTCAGAACTGCACTTGGGACATCTGTTGATAGACAGGGTCTGCTACGTGCCAGAATTTGCCAAATTCGTTACATCAAAGGCCATCTCAACATTCAGAACTTGTATCTAGTCCCGTATTCCCCCTTATGCATGTTGCCAAGATGCTCCTGGATGAGCTACAGCCCCTCCACAACAAAAACCTCAAACCACTGCTCTTCAGCATAGCTATACCTCAGGTATCCCATTCTTCCCCCACCCCACATCCACACTCACATTTAGTCACGATGCCCTCCACACAGACGACACAGCTAAGGAAACAGGCAGTCAGCGTCCGGGGCGACACGTGCTTGGAACCAAAGCTGCCCTCGAGCCCAATGTAAAAGTCCTCATATTGCTTGGCATAGGTGGCGTCAACAGAGGCAACAAAATCCTTCAGAGCACGCTGGAAGGCGATCAGCTCCTCAAAGGCATTGCTCAAAAGCCTGAAACAGGGGGAGGTGATGATGTCGTCAGCTCAGTAGCAAGGACCAGGCATTATTAGCATGCTGCCTTCCTCCATCAGTACATTTGGGAAAATGTGCAAAGCTTTTCCAGGCCTCCACACACTCTGAAAGCTTACTAGAAAGCTGAGGCAAAAAAAGACAAAGCTCATCACCTCTGTTGGTCAGCTCAGCTCCCACCAACAGCCAGGGACTGTAGGAGCAGAACTGTCCAACCATATCTGCAAAACCTCACATGTCCCTGAATGGATTTGAAAGCCTGGTCCAAAATGGTACTAGCATCCTAAAAGGAGACGCTTCATACCATGCAAAAAACCCCAACTTGCTGCAAATACTAGAACTAATAGTTTTTACCAAATCAAGGGTTTGCTAGCTTTGGAAGGCATGAACATCAAGGCCCATCTTTACAAGGGAACCAGCATTCTTGTGGTCCACAGGACAAGGTCCGGCCCTTCCTTGCAAACAAGACGTACAGAAAACGGGTTAAACTTCTTTATCTGCGTGGTGCCAGTGATGCACCCCACCATCCCACTCAACACCCATCCAAGCGTATCAGAGGCTCCCCTAACCGGTTAGCTCTCTTCTCGTTCTTCCTCCGCAGGTCGTTGATGTTGACAAGGAGGCGGTACTGGTTGTCACTGATCATATCGCGGACTTTGCTGTGGTAAATCCCTTGATCTTCCTGCAGAAGAAATACCCATTTTACATGAGCAGGTGTTACAAACACAGTCCTAAGGAGACAATTTCTGGAAAGCATCTCTTGCTGGCAGCCTTTTAAAGAAGCTGACCCCAGTGTCAAAGCAACTTATCCTAAGAAACGGGTCCCATTAGGGCACTTTCAATTTTTCCCACATATTGCAAAGCACCCTCCTTTCCCAAGGACTTCACCGCTGTCTCACATTCTTGTATTTAAAGATCATCCTCATCAGATTTGGGTTGTCCGAGATAGCGCTGAGTTTGCATTTAATCTAAACACAGATACGCCTGCTTTAGTCCATCTGAATGGGCTGACCCAGGCTGCTCAGCAGACCCACACCTGGGCCGTACCAGCACACTCGGGCAGCATACGCACTCACTGCTGGCTCTTCTTCACATCTAAAGGGAAAAGCAGCCCTGCACCTTGCCAAGCTCCCAGGAGCGGGACCCCCAAGTTCAGCCTGCAGCAAGGCAAGGAGCCAGGCTGGAAGAGCCCCCGAGGCCGGCTGCTGCCTGC